CTCTAGTTTTTCTGCCAATGCCCAGTCTTACACTACTAGCTGTCCATAGAATATTTCAAATTAGATGTCCTATAGATCCCCCAAAACCCATCATATCCAAACAGAATTAATATTTTTTTCCCTCAAAAGCCATGCCTTTTATGGACTTTCTTATTTCTTTTGAGGACACTACCATCTCTCCAATCACTCAGGTTCACAACGTGAGTGTCATCTGTGATTCTTTACTATCACCCACATATCTACTTAGTTGCCAAATCTCATTTCTACTTCCACAATATTTCTCACATTCAACCCCTTCTCTTCTCTTACATAGATATAATCCTAGTTCAGGCCCTCTTGCATTGGATGATTGGAATAACCCTAATGTATTTTAATGACTCTTTAATCTGACCTCTTTCTTTCACCTAGCTACAAAACTGATTTTCCTAACGCTCAAGTCTGTCCATGTCACTCCCCTACTCAACAAACTCTAATTACTCTCCATTATCAAAGCCCTTCATAACTTGACCCTAACCTACCTTTTCATACTTGTTGCATTTTATTCTCCTGCTCTTTCTTATCCACTGCACTAGATAGCCTTTAAATTTGCTTTCCTCCATGCCTAGAATGTCCTTCCTTCTCACCTCCATCTCTCTGAATCAATCCTGTACTTGGAAAGCTGATTTTTCCCTATGTCTTACGTCTCATTTCTGGTTAGAGCACATAAAGACTGGTTATTATCTTTGTCATCTAAAACCAAGTCTTCTTTGTATGGCAAAGGGGTGAGGGGAATTACACTACCTCAGTTACAGGTCAATATTGTATCCAAACATATTAATGGAATTAACATAAGTGATCTCTGAAGTCAGAGCTTCTCAGAGGGTTGGAAAGCAGGGCAAGTCACAAGGATTACACTAAGAACACTAGGGTATAGCTGGAAATCTAGCAATGGAAGGAAAAATAGAGCTTTTAATTGTAAATCCACCACCAGTTTAATGGCTCAAAAGGTGACCTAGCCCGTTGCAGAGCTTAGAAAAATCTGCAGCCCAACCTAGTGTGCTAAGAGGGAGATGTGGAAAGAACCTCATTGATGAAAGTTAAATCCAGTTCTATGGAATCCAATAAGCATTTATTACGTGCCTACTACGTGTGAAGCACTGTGCTAGGTAATGTGGATACAAAGGAAAAAGGGAAAACAATTCCTGCTCTCCAGGAGCTTATTCTACTGTATATTAATTCATTCTGTTTGTCACAGTAAGATTTCGTAGAATCACACAACTTTGAGAATTGGGAGAAACATTGTAAACCATCTACACCAATGTTCTCTGTTTCACAAATGACTAACACGATGATTGATGTCATCCTTTGTCTAGAGATAATGGCAAAGGCAGAGGTTTGGGGCATATAATGGCCTATAAAAATTCAACTTAAAATAAATTCAACCATCAACTTAAAAAATTCACTTTCCACTTCAGGGCCTATAAAAATTCTCCTTACCCCACATAATTTGGATGCTTGGAGATATGGAGAATTGTTATAGGCTTTTAAGTTTTTCAAAGTATTTTACATGTGCTGTTTCATTTGATCTAATCCTTTGAGGCAGGTACTATTATTATCCCCATGCTACAGGTGAGGAATGGAATCTACAAATGGTTAAACTTACCCAGGGTAAGTTTCTATATCAGGATTTGATCTCTGGTCTCTCCTGACTCCAGGTAAAACAGTTTTAGGCATGGTTCCTCAAATATTCTCGTTTCAAATTGAGGAAACATAATTTTGGAATCCTTAGAGTAGTAAATGTTTTTAAAAAGGTAACTCTAATGGCTACAAGGGAATGCTGGAAACCTTGTTAAGTCCTGTCTAGAGGGAATGTTGTTTCTTCTCATATTTCTATATTCCTGGCTCAGCAACTCAGCAACACTTGGGAATATGGATAGCAAGTCTAGCATTTACTTAGTGAAAATAATGCCAAAAGTGAAATGGAACTTCCTAATGCTTTTTTTCCCCTCCTTTATTCTAAGATCATCTAAAATGGCAAGAAACTTGAGTCAAGAATTCAATGTGAAAGATTAATAAAAGTTCTGTGTTGCACTTGACTTAATTCATTTCTTCTTTCTATGTCATTCACTGTTAAAATGGGACCTCTAAGTTTAAAGAGCATATAACATCAGGTTTTTCCTCTCAAGGAACACCAGATGAAATGCAATATAGCTGATGGAATTTAAGACCCATGGTTTACAGATAGATGAATTAAAAATAAATTCAAATTGGAGAAGTAATTCATCTCATTGTAGTTGGAATTCATGTTATACAAATACCATATCAAGTTCACTTACCAGTGCTTGAAAGGCCAATGAAATATAAACATTCTAATTACAAAACATTGGGGCAAATGGATGCTCAGTGTATAACACATAATAGGTACTCACTGAGTATAAAATGAATCAATCAATCAATGAAAAATTAAAAGTCTTATTGCTTGAATAAATGAGCAGTTTGGTGATATTTATTAGATTGTAATGTAAGTATGGATATCATACATAGATGCTAAAAATTTTGTCTTCTGGAAAGACCACAGTCACAATGGCCATTAATGAATTTTTAAATGACCTCCTTTTATAAAGTGCCCATTTCACTGCTGAATACTTATTGTTTGGATAATTTCTAGCTTCCAAGTCATTTGTGTAAAAAAAAAATCATTAATTTGTATGTAAACATCTCAAAGGAAAAAGAAATAAGGTGATCATTAGCTCAGATCTGCCACATTTCAACTATGTTCTCCCTATTCATTCATACGAACCTGACCATATTATTGTTCCAAGCATCTTTTGGCAGCCTTATTAAAGGCATAGGGAGGAGAAAACATTATAAAGCAGAAGAGCTAATATTATTTTGCCTAACACAGCCTGGTAATCACAACAATGACATAGCAGGAAATAAGGGGAAGAAAAAATGGGGCAATTTACCATCAACTTTTAGGACAATAGAAGCTGAGTAATATCAAGGAACCTGAATCCAGATTCTTGAAAGCCACTCTCTTCAATATTCATTTTAAGCAAGGCACCAATTAAGTGATGAGAGACCACTCACTGAGAGCATTTATTATCACAAAAAAGATTGTGGTAGTTGTCTTTAAATGGACATATAAAAATCACTCAACCACAGTATGGCATGGGGATGTGTGGGCAGGTAAGTAGGATATTTGGAGTGTTTATGAGATGAAATTCTAGGAAAGAAAATTACAATAGTATTATTTCAAAAATACACAGTATATTTATTGGTCTGACTCAAAATGTGCCTGTCTTGGTGTGTCATTTTAGGTCATGAGAGGCTACTTGATGACAAAGGCAATGGTGCCATGAAACTTTTCTGGTAAAAAGTTCAAGGACCAAAAGTCAGAAATCTGGGTTCTTGCTCTGGCTCTGCCACGTACTGACCATATGATCTTGGAACAGTCCCTCAACCTTGCTGAAACATTGTTTTTCTGCTATCTCTGTAGGAAAGAGATACCAATATCTGCTCTGCCTACTTTACTAAGTTAAGAGCTATTAAAGTAAGAATAATAACAGCTAGCACTTACATAGCACTTAAGATTTGCAAAGCACTTTATAAAAAAGATTTCAGGGGCAGCTAGGTGGCGCAGTGGATAGAGTACCGGCCCTGAAGTCAGGAGGACCTGAGTTCAAATGTGGCCTCAAACCAAACACTTGACACTTACTAGCTGTGTGACCCTGGGCAAGTCACTTAACCCCAATTGCCTAAAAATAAAAAAAAATAAATATGATTTTATTCTATCATCACAATAACTCTAAGTGGTACTACTTATATTATGTCCCTTAAAGTTGAGAAAACTAAGGCAGGCGAGTTAAGTGACTTGCTCAGTGTCATGCTGTCATTAAGTATTTGAGATCAGTTTTGAACTCAAGTCTTCCTGACTCCAGATCTAGTATTCTAGGACTAAAAATAAGAAATTTTGGATTCCAGTGTTGGCTCTGGCAGGTGCTGGGTATATGATCTTGGAGAAGACCCATAACCTCTCTGAGACTGTTTTCCTGCTATTTTTATAAGAAAGGGATAACAATATCTATCCTGCTACTTCACAGAGATGTGAATATATTCAGACTCATGGAACATAAGACCTGGCAGAGAAGTTAGAAAGCTTCTAGGCCAAATGAAATAATGGGCAAGAAAATGCTGTGTAAAAGCACCCAGCTATAAAAATGTAAGGTATCATTGTTCCCTGGTAAAGGCATTCCCTGTCACTTTTTAAATTATGAATGTGTGCTTTAGAAATTACAAAGCACTGTACAAATGAAAGGTATCATTGCTATTATTATCATTTCTTTAGCACTTAAAGATTTGGAAGAACCCTCCTGAAATATGATTCCCATCTCCTTCAGTTTCTCTTTCTATTCCCTGATTCCTGAGTAGATCCCAGTCACTGATGGAAAGTCTAGAGAAAAGAAGACTCCAAACAATGTCATAGCAATCTCAAAGTCAGAAGATGCTTGCCATGGATCATCATGGAAGATTCTGGATTTATTATTTAATGAGGAATTTGTGGTGTAATGGAAAGCAAATTGAACTGTATTTTGTAGCAGAATTTTGAGTCTATTACTTACTTTCTAATTTCCTGAATGTCAATTTCTTCATTTAAAATGGCAGGAAAAATATTTGTATTACCTAACTCCTGGGATTATTGAGAGGAAAGGGCTTCTTAAACCCCATTTTTTTTTTTGTAATTGTGACTTTTGCTGGTAAGTTTAACACTAGGCTTTATTATAAAGTCTTACTTAATCTCACTCAGGGTGGTTAGGTGACACAGTGGATAGAGCACTGCGCTTAGAATCAAGAAGACTCATCTTCATGAGTCCAATCCAGCCTCAGATACTTATTAGCTATGTAACCCTAGGCAAGTCACTCAACCCTGCTTGCCTCACTTCCTCATCCATAAAATAAGCTGGAGAAGGATGTGGCAAACTACTGTAGTATCTTTGCCAAGAAAACCCCAAAATGGGGTCAGAGAGAGTTGAACAACAACAAAAAATCAACTCATAGAGATATTTCACCTGAAAAATTAGAAAAACAATTTAGAGGTGGAATAATTATTTTGGATAACTTGAACATTGTTAAGATGCAAAATGAGTACTTTGTGATCCTCCTCCCTCTTTTAGGCCTCTCTCCTGTATAGAAACTCAGATCCTATAATCCTACCTATCTTTTCTCAGAAGTTTTTGAAAATAGCTAGGAAGAATCAAGTAAGTAGAGTCAAGTGAACAGTATACAAAATGATTATAAAAATGTAAGTGCAAACAACTCTAAAAGGCAACTCAGTTCAGATTAATCATAATGTCCAGTGGCTTTATATTAGGAAATGAGAGTAAAAGTGAAATGTATCAGTGTGTGTGTGTGTGTGTGTGTGTGTGTGAGAGAGAGAGAGAGAGAGAGAGAGAGAGAGAGAGAGAGAAAGAGAGACAGAGAGACAGAGAGACAGAGAGTAGTTTTCCACACATCTTGGGTACACTACTATAAACTATTGCTCAGCTTTTCTGTATGGCAGGCATCACTGATGCTCCTTCAACTTTTCCAAGTCTGTTTGTTGTCTGAATCTTGATGTTAGCTGTTCAGAAGAAGAAAAGAGCCCTGTTATCTACTGTTTTAAACATTAATCTACTTTTTCTTATTCTTTGATTCAGATCATCTTTCATGATAGGTGCTTTATCATAAAAATTACCCAAGAACTCTTGAACTATCTTGACTATCTCAGGGAGGTAGCTCAAAGGCTGTGGAAATGTTGACATGTATATATGTATGTATACACACACACACACACACACACACACACACACACACACACGCACACATGCCTCTGTGTGTGTGTGTGTGTGTGTGTGTGTGTGTGAAAACACTCCTTTTCTCTTTTTCTTTTTTGCCCTCTCCTCTGCCTTCCCGGAATCCTACCAAAAGATAATTACCTGCTGTCTTGAGGACATCCTGATGGGACTACCTGGCAAAGCCAGAGAATTTGCCTTATTTGATACCCTTCCTTTCCGGCCCCTCCCTTTCAGTTCTGGTGGTCTCTGTTAAATCTCTTCTTCTGCCTACATAGGCCTCCTATGGTAGTAGTTTGTTCTCTTTGCACTCAGGCTTAAAAAAAAATTCCCACTTAGTGATAGCTGGTGCTGAAACAAAAGTTCATTTGCATGTCAAAGAGGTGCTTTTAGCTTTAACACCCAGTAACTTAATTGCTAAGAAGTGACTAATGTTATCTGTGCCTTTTTAATGTTTTGTCCATAAACATGTTTACTAACTGCGGACCTGTTCCATGGGAAGGTGGCTTTGTGTGCAATGTCAGGAGAGAAAATGTGTTCATAACTCTACGATGACAGGTATTAATGAATAGCTATTTTCTGAATTTATACACCTCCATCTCCGCTTAATGGGTGTATTTGTAAAGCTCATTTGAAAATAAAACTGCGCAATTTTCTTCCATAATGTTCCAGTTGTAAACAGAGAATACAAATGTCGATCATTTAGCCTTACTACATACAGATTTGCATAGATATCATCTCTTGATTTGAGATTTGTTCTGACTCCAATCTGGGAATATTTTTTTTTTCTTTTCTGCCCTTGTGCTATGGAGCTTCTCACCTTTAATCTTCATTTGTTTACTTCCTGCCAAATTTCTGTTTCTCTACAATGTCAGTCTTTCTATGTAAGCCCCATCTTGACTGACACGTTAAAGATCCTGAGAGAACAGATGGCATGTTCTGCCATTTACCAGCTCTATGACATTAGGGAAATACTTTATTTTATCTGACCCCCAGTGTGTTCATCTGTAAAACTGGGATAATTATACCTTTCATTATAGCTGAAATCTATACAATATTGTCTCCCCTGTTAGAATGTGAGATCTTTGAGAGTAGGGATTGTCTTGTTTATATTCTCAGTGCATTGTAAACAGTAATAACTTAATATAGGTTTTTCATTTATTCGTTCAAGCGTGTATTATGCACATAATCTCAGATGATAGTACCAATAACAACACTTGCTATTTATATAATGCTTTAAATTTTGTGATATATTTTACAATCCACTACCTCACGTGAACCTCACAAGAACCCTGTGAAGAAGGCACTACACTATTATTATCCTCAATTTACAGATGAGGAAACTGAGGCACAGAAAGATTCAGAGATTCAAGGGATGCCTCAACCAGTAAGTGGCAGCAACATGACTCAAACCAGAGACTTCTTACCTTCAAATTTTATACACAATCTACTATACAATTCTGCCTCTCAACTATTTATTGTTTTAAAATATTTGATGAGTCATCTGTAATTAACTCAAGTTGACCACTTTGCTTACTGAAGGAATATTTAACCCCATTATTGAGTTGTATGAAACAACTGATACATAGAATAGCAGTTCAAAGCTAAAAGGGACCTCTCATTCCACCTTCTCTGCATTTGCAAAAGAAGAAACTAAGAGAGGGAGGAAGAAAGAAGGTTAAGAGACTTGCCCAAAGTCATTACTCATATTATCTGGGATTTGAACCCAGGTAATTGACTTCAAATTCCCTACCATTTCACAGCATTGCCTGCATCAAAGACTTGAATCATAAGGACAAAATTTTCAAATTGCTAAATACAAGGTAGTATCACCATCAACAAATATTTAATAAGGAGCCTTTATAATTTCATCAAAAAGCGTTGTTCTAGTTACTTCTGATAGAAGTGGATGGCAGAGTTATCAGCTGTCATAGATTTTATAATCTTGCTAGAGAGAAGGGCCGCACATTTAAAAGAAGGTAGATAGGTGCCAAATGAGTGGTACTGACTATAAGTGAATGCTGTTGGGTTTCCTAGGAGAGAGAAATCATGGTGGGCCAGAAGTGGTGGGAAAGGCTGGGGGTGGAGAGGATGTGGGATTTTAGTAGATGGATAGGATTTGGATGGGCAAAAATAGGCAAGATATATTTGTAGCTGGGGACAGGGCCACAGTACAGTGGTAGTAAGCAGCATACTGAGGTTTGAAAGCTTATGTCAGAGATTAGTGTGGGAGAAAAAAGTCAGAAAAGTCTTGAGGCCAGGTTGTAAAGAACCATGAATGCTAGACTTTATCCTTCAGACAGTGGGGAATTTTTGAAATGTTTTTCCATTAATGTTTGCACAGCCTTATTATAGAAATATAAATCAGGCAATGCTGTGTGGGATAGGATGGAGGGTGTTAAACCTTGACCTCCATTGGTGGTGGAATGGATTAGGCTAGACTGGATGTCAAGGAGCCCAGAAATTAGAATCACTAGGGTGGGACAGATAAGGGCCCTGGAAGTCCAGTTGAGTAGTAGTTGCTATCTATATGACCTTAGACATCTTATTTGACCTTTCTAGGCCTTAGTTTCCTCATTATTTGTAAGACAAGGAGATTGGACTAAATGATCTCAAAAGTGTCTTCCAGCTCTAAATAAGATCGTAAGGAGACCAAATGGTAGACAGCAGATAGGTGATCTTTGCCTTAGATGTTAAGAGAGTCTGGAAGTAGACAAAAGTGTTTTGGCATGCAAGTGATCTATATTGTGGAGTTTCAACAGCAGGAAGTGGGGAACTTAGCCATGAGGATTAGGAATCTGGGGCAAGACTTGAGTGTCCAGAAGGAGGCAGGAACAAGGCCTAGTCTCAGCTCCATGGTAACTTCAGCACAGATGCTTTAAAGTTGAACCTCCAAACTTTGCTTGTGTCTAGTAGTCTTTATATCTCCTCTACCTAGAGGTCATTTTGGTCTCAAGAGCCTAGTGCAAGGCTGAACCTGAACTCAAGGAATTCCAGCTGTGGGAAATGGGATGATTTAGGGGCAATGAGTCAGGTTGGATATAGAAAAGGGAATAGAATGGATATGCAGAGACTAGTTAAAAAGGTAATGGTCTAGATGGAGTTCTCCCATAGATCAAATTCTAGGTTCTCATCCTAGGCCTAGGAGCTTTTCCCAGGATGCTTCATACAACTCATTTCTCTCTCCTACTCCTCTGTCTCAGCCAGTTCTCTCTCCAGGTCTCGTGGTTCAAAATCTCCTTTAATATCCTTTTTTTTTCTTCAGGGAATTCTAAGCCAAAACCTCTGCCCTGAAGACTGTTTATTTCCTTTTTCAGTCTCTATCATCCCACCCCCATTCTTTATGAGATGCTTCTCAGGATATTTAAATAGGATATTCAGGCAGAACTATCACCTGTGGGATGAGGGCTTGCCAAACCCTTTTCAGGGCTCCTAATCCACTTTTGGTGTCCACTTCTCACTCACCTCTCACTCAACTCTCCAAGAAGCAGTGGCCCACCCCACTAAGACTGTGATGGGCTAAACTAAGTGGATGTCTACCCCAAGCATGTGAAGACTTTTCCCCAGGGGACTGGGCAGAGGAGAACAATTTGTTGCAATGGTCATGAAGTCAGCTAAAGTAGGCACTGTGGAGCATTCAGAGCTGAGAAGACACTCCTTCGTGTATCCACTGCATCCTGGGGCCATGGTCATTCATCTTGACTTTTGTCTTGCCACTGGACTTCGATAACTCTGGAAGAGAGTAAGGCTAATGACTTGGTGCAACTCTGCCTCACTTAAATCTAATTCATGTGCAAGTTAAGATATCATCCATCATCCACTATCTTACCCCAACAGTGTGGTGTCATTGATCCTTTACCAAAAGGAAGCATGAACAACAACTTCCCCTGAAAAAACTTTCCGGGGTCTTTGGAAGAACATAATTGTTTGTGGTATCTGTGGTACTGTGTGACTACACTGGGCTTTAGTCTGTTCACTCTGAATCCCACCCCAACTTTTTATGCAAACTTATCCCCAATCCCCTTCCTGAAATGCTTTTACACTGAATTCTAACATCCTGCAAACAGTTTTCTATCCATTTATGTACTAGTTTACTAGTCTTATTTTGTTCTATATTCTTTCCATATATGAGTGTCCACCTTACTATGTTCATAAAATCATAGATCTAGTGTAGGGAATAACCCAATGGTCATCAGATATGGTCATGTAATTTAATAGATGAGAAATGTAAGCACCAAAGACCTTAAGGGTCTTTGGTAACATGGGCAGCTAGACAGCACAGTAGATAGCATGTCAGGCCTGGAGTCAGGAAGACTCAGCTTCCTGAGTTCAAATCTGACCTCAGACACTTGCTAGCTGGGTGACACGAGGCAAGTCACTTGACCCTGTTTGCCTCAGTTTCCTTACCTGGAAAATGAGCTGGAAAAGGAAATGGCAAATTGCACTAGTATCTTTGCCAAGAAAACTCCAAATGAGCTCATGGAGAGTTGGACACGACTGAAAATGACTCACCAATAACAACAATATTAACTCAGCTAGTAAATGATAAGAGTTGGAGTTTGAACTTGGGTCTTCTTACTCTAAACTCATGTTCTATTGTACTACATTGCTTCTCACAGATTATAAAGTATTAGAAGGCATAATTGTAGTCCAAATAATTCTGTTACTTTAACATCTATTGGAAAACCAAGAGAATTTAGAGAATGAATAAGTTTTCTGAAGATGCTGCAAAGAGGAATACTGAAAGGACCTTGAGAAGTCCATCCTTGTCCCTCTCTCAGGCTCATTATATCACCTAAGATAGATGAGACTCTAACCAATTTTAAAAGGTTTTCAAAGAAGAAAATTTCATGACCTTTTCCAGTAACCTATTCTAGCTATTAACTACTCTATTACAACAAACTTTCTTATATCTAACCTAAATCTGTAGGGTCTTAAGGAATCAAAATTGGACAAAAATACTTAGCAGTGAATTTTCTGATCATAGTTAAGATTTTATTTATATGTAGTAAATTTATAGAACACATTTTTTCCTCTAAGTTAAGAGGATTTTTATTTTTATCCTGAAGAAAATGCTAAGCTAGAGTTTTTTGGCAAAAGGATTGAAATTCAGGATAAATGAGAAGCTGGAAAATGCCATAGATTATAGAAGGTAAGAAAAATAGCTTAATTCTTTTTTGTGTGTATTTTGAGTGTTATTACTTAGCTACCAGAGTATGTTGAAAGCTGGTTTTAACATGCCATATTTGGGGATAAGCTTATTTCTTTAAATCATAAAAAAATTCAAATGAAGACTTGATGTATTCCACTGTTTGCCTTGCAAGGCCCTGAGGAACCAACATTAACTTATGCAAATTCACAAGTCATTTGTTTCTCCTAGGGAGAGGTTTTATTTACCTGACAGCATAGCTTATTCAGCTTTAACCTTTCTGCTGACCTTCTGATCTCTCATTTATAGCTACCTACTGGACAGCTCAAACTGGATGCCCTGTAAACATCTTCAACTTAGCATGTCTAAAATTGAACTCATTAATTGTCCAAACTCTTCCCCCTTCCAAACTTTCCTATTACTGTCTAGGGAATCACCTGCTAGTGTAGGGGTCATCCTCAACTCTTTGCTCTCACTCATTCTTCCATATCCGATCTATAGCTTATCTATTTTATGTTTTATTATATATTGTCTATTACATATATATATATATATATATAATATATGCCCCCCTTCTCTTTTCTTTCACAGCCATTATCCTGGTCCAGGCCTTCATCACCTCATGCCTGGAATGCTACACTAGCATTTTGGTTGCTTTTGATGCCTCAAATTTCTCCCCACTATAATCCATCCTCTACTCAGCCATCAAGACAATCTTCCTAAAGTATAGGTCTGACCATGTTGCACCTCCTTCTCCCATTCAGTAAACTCTACTAGCTTCCTTTTGCCTTTAGGGTCAAATACAAGATCCTCTTTTGGGTCTTCAAAGCCCCTTATATTCTGGCTTCTTTCAATCTTTTCAGTCTTCTTATACCTTACGCTGCTCCCTTCTTCTCTGTTTTCTGATCCAGGGACACTGGTCTCCTCACCATTCCTCAAACTGGACCCTATACCTGCTGACTCTGAGCATTTTCACTGGCTGTCCCCCATACATGGGATGCTCCCCCTGCTCATCTCTGCCTCCTGGTTTCTCTGGCTTCCTTCAAATACCAGCTAAATTCCCACCTTTTACAGGGAGCCTTCCCCAACCCTTCTTAATTCTAATTGAATACTTGCAAATTCTAGTTGAACGCTTCCAATTTATCCTGGATGTAGCTTGTTTATATTTAGTTGTTCATATATTATCTCCTCCATTAGATTGTGAGTTTTTTGAGACCAGACTTTCTTTTATGTCTTTTTATACCCCAGGGCTTACTATAGTATTAGGCACGTAGTAGGTGATTAATAAAAGTTTATTGATTAGCTATTAAAGAATGAGCTATTCAATGTAAGACAAATTTTCCTGATAACTGAAACTTAGCTTAGGTTGCTGAACTTAAAAAAAAAAGAAAACAACTTAACATTGTGGGTTGAAATCTTTCTAAATCGTATCACAAACTCTCCTGTCTTCTTAAATTAATAACCATGAATGTAATTTAGCCTTTTCTTTCTCAATAGTTATTATATTATATTATATTAATATAAAGCAGCTAGCTGGTGCAGTGGATTGAGTACTGGGCCCAGAGTAAGGAAGATTCATCTTTCTGAGTTCAAATCCAACCTCAGACACTTCCTAGTTGTGTGACCTTGGGCAAGTCATTTAACCCCATTTGTCTCCATTTCCTCAACTTTAAAATGAGCTGGAGAAGGAAAGGGCACTCTAGTATCTTTGCCAAGAAAACCTCAAGTGGGGCAAGATGTCCAAAAGGATTGAAAAATATAGTGGTGATCTCAATAGCTATTGAGGTATATAGTATAAACTTGATGGAGTAGAAACAGTCATAAGACTGGGATTTGAATCTCAAATCCAGTAAGTAGCTACATACTAACTGTATGACTCTAGACAAGTCATTTCCCTCTGAGCTTCAGTTTCTTGATTTGAAAAATTAGGTTGATGGACTGAATGGCCCCCTAAAGTCCAATATGTCTCTAAATTGTGATCCTAAGTGGCCTACCACTGCCATGGAGGTCAAGTACTTGTGGGTTTTTTTCTTTTCTTTTTAAAGTTTTTTTTAAAATGTCTTTTTCCTTTGTTTTTGTTGTCACTTCTTGCTCAATATGTCATTCCATATGTCTCTCTCTAATAGTACTTTCTTCTCTTTAATGCTGTATAATCCAATACGCTATGTCCTATACTAGATAATCAAGGTTGTTAGAATTGGTTTACATAAGAGTTAATGAACTCTGAAGGACCTAATGAGATTGCTTGTATATATAATGCATGACCTTTTACTAATAGATTTTGTGACCTTTCTTTTGGTGGCTCAATTTTCTGTTTTCTTGTTTCTCTGTCATGTTTTTGGATAAACGAGATTTTAACTATATTTTTCATTACTTAGGTAACTTAGAAGAGGCTGGAGAAATGAGATATCTCTTGTAACATTTTCAGAAATTTTTTAAAAATTCAACTTGATATGATTTGGATTGCAAAGTCAGCATAGCCTTCATTTCCTTTAGTATCTATTTGTGTCTTCGAAAGTAATCTCTTCCTTTTCTAAACTCCTATAGCAATTTATTTTCTTCTGTCCTTTACTAGCTAGCAATCCTGCCTTGGCTTCTATACATTTTTGCACATGCCTTATCTTCTCTACTAGACTGCAAACTCGGGGAGCAAAAAGGGATCATATTTTAATTCTATTTTTGCATCCAGTGCAGCAGGAAGCATAGTGCTTCTGAACATAAAAGAAACTCTATCAATATTTGCTAAATGAATGAGTGGACAGTATTGTGCTGATATTCTGCACAAAATCAGCATTTATCAAATTCTTACTAGGACAAAAGAAATGTAGGAAATCAATAAAACAAATTGTTTGTGGTATGTGAATATGAGGAAATGATGATCATGACAAATACAGAGAATCTGCACGGAAATGCTTATATAGACTGATGCAAAAGGGAGTCAACAGAGCAAGGAACACAAGTATATATGTTGATTCCATGTAAATAGAAAGAGCAATTATAAAACAATAAAAATTTCCCATTATGAAACTATAATGAACAAACTTATCCCCAAAGAAGAAACAGTGCTTAGCACAGTGCCTGATGCGTAGTAGGTGCTTAATAAATGCTTATTTATTGATGGGCAGCTAGGTGGTACAATGGATAGAATGCCATTCCTGGAGTCAGGAAGTCTTAAGTTTAAATCTGGACTCAGACACTTACTAGCTATGTGACCCTGGACAAATCACTTAATCTTGTTTGCCTTAGTTCCTCATCTATAAGATGAGCTGGAGAAGGATATAGCAAATCACTCCAGTATCTTTGCTAAGAAGATCCCAAATCAGGTGACAAAGAGTAGGACATGACTGACATGACTGAACAACAACAGGAAATTGCCATTGTCTGGCAAGGTGTCCATCGTATAGTAGATGCATAAAAATGCTTGTTATTTGATAGATTGATGGGCATAACAGAATCATAGAGTATGATGTAATCTCTGAGTTGAAATAGTCCAAACCTTGTCTGATGTATAAATGTATATATCTTTTTAAAGATCTCCAATCATCTCTAATCAATCAATAAAAATTTATTAAGCACCTTTTAT